AGATCTGAGCAGATGGTTTAGTGCCCCAGGGTGCAAGGTGAAAGGGGCCTCTAAACAGCAGCTTTCGGCGAGCTAAGGTGAGTGTCCATTGATGTTAAAGGGACCCCCTGTTTGCGCTGTGGACTATGAACCTTACCATGGCAATCCATTTGCAACATGTCCAAGTGGGTGTTCATTTTTGGGGAACACTCCTTTTGGCTTCACAGGAAAGCAACAAGGAAGCCAAGGATTCTGTTCGGGGGGTCCGCAAGTGTGCCGAAAACACTGCTTCTGGCTTCACAAGGAAGCCAAGGGGAAAACCACAATGCATGGTTGTTGTTGGGAAGCATTTTACATTTTTGCTTGTTGTGGTGTAGTGGTTGAAATCCCCCACTCAACTGCTATGTTTTTGCATTTTACATGTTTGCTTATGGTGGTTTTGTGGTTGAAATCCAACCACTGAACTGCTAAAAATTATTTATTGTTGCTTTTCTTTCAACGTCAACCAAGAATGGCTGGGACCCGGTCCCACCACGTTTTGGAGCAGATTGGCACCCGTTGGTTGGGGAAAATGCGATTGATGCCAGTGGCGTCCACCCGTTTTTTATTTTTCTCCGGAACCTTTTGGGGAAGGGGTCCCTGAATTGCGTTTCGGACGCAAATCTCCACTTTTTTGGGTTTGGAATATTTTTTAGTGGTGAACAACAAGTGTATGTACCTTGTCTTGGCCAATGCACTCAAGAAGTGAGCAAACGCCAACCAACAGACAAACAAAACAAGCTACCGAAACAAGGGTGCGTTTTGCTCCGCGTGGTGGCTTTCCATTGGTGTCAAGTTGCCGGCTCTGTTTTGGGCGATTTGGTTTCTTTCCTCAAAGGTTTGGACGCGGGTTTGAGCGGCTGGTTTAGTCTGAAGCCAAAGGCAAAGCACCCATCATTTTGGGTGTTCCCCTAGTGTGGCTTGACAACGAACCCAAAGACCACCTCCATCTTGGGGGGGTGGATTTTGGGGGCTCGGCCCCCAACACCAAATTGAGGGACTCTCTAGGATTCCAATAGCTGTTTTTGTTGCGCTAAGGCCAGCACAAAGATCACGAAGATGCGAGGCGCGGTGTTGGGTGTTCGTGGCCAAGTGAGGTAAGTGGTTGGAATCCTTGGTGATAACTCGTCCGTGTGGGATGAACCTTAAAAAATCATATCCCAAGTGGCTAAAAAAGTTCCGAACTTGGCTTTCAGGGAGGCGTTGCTTTTTGCTGGCTGAATTTTTTGGGCGTTGCTCCTCCTCTCAAAAGCTGTGCTTCGGCTTCTTTGTTAGGCGACATGGGTTTGGGTCCCGGCTGAATGAGTCCATAGGTCCAGGCCGCCGGCTTGCTTGGGACATATTGTGGATGGTTGCGAAATCCATTTCGCGCCACTTTGACACCATGGGTTCCAGGATTTGTCGGTATTTGTAGGGGAATCGAATCAGAAACCAGGGTTTCTTAGGTGGTGCGAAGTGGATTTCGTCCATCCACGGTAGGGGGAGCCTGCATTTTTGTTTGACCATTTTTGGGGGGGTCCCCTTCACAAAAACACTCCTCAATTCCGGTGTGTCATCTCTTTCACTTACAAAGTTGGTGCATCCTAGAAGTTGAAAGACCGGCCTGCTTGAAAATAGCGCCCAATGTGACCATCGCCCGGCATTTTCGGGTAGTTGCCTTTTTGGCCGTTATGCGAGAGTTCCAGCTGCTTCTCAAAATGAATCAGATGGAAATCCATGTCATGTTGAAGAAGAACCCCACCCATTTTGCTGGCTCCATGTCCATGGCGACACGCCCTGGCAACGTGCTTTCCCTTTAGATCCTGTTGTTTACGTAGAGCCACCTGCGGCCAGATCTGTCTATCGCCTCGAAAGCATTGACCGCTCGCGAAACGCCGTTGGGATCTCTTACACCAGGGCTGCAACTCATCTCATCAAAGGATATGTGTTTTGCTTGTTCAAGGATTCCTTTGATTAGAATGCCCCAACTGGTTGTTTATGGTGGACTCAACAAAGTCCCAACCCGCTTGATGTTGATCCTGGATTAATACACCCGTCCTACGAATAGTGTGTGCTCCCAAAGGTGACAAGTCCCTGTTTGGTGGGCAGCCCCTATTAACCAAGCAGGGGTTGACTCTTTCAGGCTCCTATTTATCTTGTTCTTTGCTTATTCCTCACCACTCTCTTGCCAACCATCATGGAAGTAGAAGATAGGTGGAAGACGAAACCGATCCTCTTGAGAAGGCTCAAAACATCCATGTCCATCTTGGAAAAGAGTTCGCTTCTGAAAATTGGCAGAACCTTTGTATGTTTCCCACCTTCATTCTGCACAAAGGATGGCCCCAACGAAAAGCGGGCCATCCTCAAACTACCCGTCAACATAGGCGAACCACAGCATCTGTTTGGGAGTATCCCATTTGTCAAGGAAGCAATCAAACTGCTCCTCCAAAACTGTTGCATAATTTGATGTAGACTAAGTATGGCACAGAATCTGATCACATTA